CCATGATTCCTGCCACCTATTGTTAGTCACAGGTCTTGAAACCTAACTCAGAAAAGTATCGATTTCTTTTTCTACAACTGGCTGCAAATTTAATCTATGTTAGTTGGGAGGGGAAGGGGGCAAGGTGGGCAGCAGGGAGTTTACACCATGGCAGTTATTCATTGCCTTCCCTTTTACCCAGAGGAAATACTACTCAAAAAAAAAAAAGAAAAGCTTCCCTTTTACCCAGAGGAAATACTACTCAAAAAAAAAAAAAGAAAAGAAAGAAAGAAAGAAAGAAATTTGAAGTTTAATACTGAATTCTGCTTTCTTGGCACATTTAAAAATAAGCTCATTACACGTAGCTGGGTCTTTGTCTCCTGAATGGCTGCTCTAATGAGGTAAGAGATCTAAACAAAATAACCCACAAAAAATATTAATATTGTGAGTGGTCTCAAATAGTAGTTATTAAACTCAAGGTCTGACACTGAATGATAACAGTAATTCAAACAGATGCAGTATTTACAGATCCTGCAAAATTAAGAGGTTCCTTCTATAACCTGGTTAGTAACATCAAATTCTAACTAAACATGTTCCAGGTCAAGAACTTACTCTTCACATATCAAAAAGTGCTTGTTAAGAATATCAGAATATAGAATTCATGGCAAACTGTATGTGTTTTAATAAAAACCCAAAATCAATTCTAAGTGTTATCCATCGGAACTGCTCAAGAGAAGATCTCAGCCAGAGAGACATAAGGCATCCATAGTATTTAGCAACTCCCTGTCTCTAATTTCATACTTACTGTTTCTAATTTCAAGTTTACTATATGTGCTGAAAAAACAAGCACTCTGTCTCTAATTTCAATGTAGCATTTAGGTACACTACAGCCAGGATCCATTATGCATGTTTTATAAAAAGCACTACTCTGATTTAGCCCAGCTTTCTAAGAATGATTCTCTAAAGAACAAGACAATGTGAACAGTCCGTGGAAGACCAGAACAATCATTCTGTGGCATCCAAACAGATTTTCCTAGAGACAAGCCCTTCTTAAAATATTCTAAAATCAGTCCATGTGGCACTTTCCATTTCTGGGGACCTGGCCTTTCTGATTCAACACAACCCTCTCACTCAGGTACCTGTGAGGGGGCTACAAATGGCAAAACCACTTCTGCTACCCTAAATATTAACTCATTTAAGATCTGTCTGTATAAAGAGCAGATCCCTGCTTAAACTCAAAACAAAACAAACAAAAAAAACCCAGCTAGATAACTATCTCTTGCATATTTGTTTATTAAAGAGCAAAGCACATTACTATCATGCAGGTTAAAAAGTAAGGTTACATTTATTTTGCACTGTAGAAACACTGGAAATAAATTAGCCAACAAATCCATTTCCCACGGCTCCATGCAAGGAAGAAGCAAACATATCACCACTTTCTCTGGAAAAGTTAGAAAACCATGATTTACCATATACCCTAAAGTAATTGCCTGCCAATATGTCAGTCATTTGTACCACTGTCAAATATGAAAACTGAAGTACACAAATCACATGGGTTACGTAATTAATAAAGGAAAATCAGAAATTAACTTGAGCTTTCTAAAATGCCCACAGCATCACACTTTCAAGTTTCACAGTGATTAATTTAACACCATTTTACTATTAAAACTGTCATTTTAAATGTACCTGTCAAAGTGCTTCAAATGCAGCATACTAGTTAAAATTCTTCCTGGAAGTTTCTAGTAGTGGCAGCTGATTTAGTAAGGTTATTCACCCACAGGGTGCTCAAGAAAGGGCATGCTACCTTTCAGAGACACCTCATGGGACAAAGAAAATTCTGGTCTGACCACAAATTTCCTATAGAATGCCTAAGTCCAGAACTGAAGATAAGGCCACTCTGAACAAAGACATCAACACAACTCATGGGACAAAGAAAATTCTGGTCTGACCACAAATTTCCTATAGAATGCCTAAGTCCAGAATTGAAGATAAGGCCACTCTGAACAAAGACATCAACACAACCAAAGACATCGGTATCTGTTTTTGGCTTATTTGAGGACCCAAGTCAAAAGCTCCAGCGCTTCAGGTTTCCTTTGTTCCCTCTGGCACAGTCCCAGTCCTTGACTAGTCAAGAGATCTAAGGCAATCAAGGAGATTTGAACGTGGCAAGATCTAGGGGCAACAAAGCATGGTCTGAGTGGGCTGCCTCTGTCTTAGGTGGTGGGTGGCTAGTTAAGAAGAAACCCAGGTGAAGAACGAAGAGGAAGAAAATAAAAAAATAGAAAGGGGAAAAGTAGCCTTTGATTCAAACACCTTCCAATTACATTTTCATTCTCCGAGATTTGAACGTGGCAAGATCTAGGGGCAACAAAGCATGGTCTGAGTGGGCTGCCTCTGTCCTAGGTGGTGGGTGGCTAGTTAAGAAGAAACCCAGGTGAAGAATGAAGAGGAAGAAAATAGAAAAAATAGAAAGGGGAAAAGTAGCCTTTGATTCAAACACCTTCCAATTACATTTTCATTCTCCGTAAGTCACAGAGTCAAAGTCTGCTTGGGAAAGCAAGGTACATTCCAAATACTTTTTGAATGACTACAAAATAAACCAGTTCTTTGGAAACTGAACACTTAGGAAACTTTCAAATTCACAGGGCATTAAGATGGTCCCTTCTTCCCTTTAAAATGGATATTATGCCTGCTTTTTCCCTTGCATATTCCCCCAAGGCCCAGGATCCAGTTCATAATCAATACTCTTTTGGTATCTATTTAGAATTTGGGTAGCTCTAGACATACATCTGTCTTCCTAGTACCTCTATATTAGAATAAATGACATGTTGGTATTAGTACTATAACATTCTAGATCACAATTAGCATTTAACTTTCTTCTCAAAATTAGAATTAAAAGTATTTTAATCATGACATTAAAATGCCATGGAAGAATATTTAGTTTTTTATTTGGAAGTTATTCACTCTATTACCCTTAAGACTAAAACCCATGAACTATATCTATTACCTATTTGTGGAGAAATGACACTTTAAATTGTGGCAATATCAAACTCTGCATTACACTAAGATTAGGAGCATTATTAAAGGATCACAGAAGGCAGCATTAGCATACATTATCCAGGTATTTTTAAATTTTTCTATCCCACGCCCCCCCACCCCCAAGCACAGGGGAATTATTTTTTGACAAGCCTAAAAGGACATTTTTCATACCATAACCTGAAAAGAAAGTTCTTACAGGTGTATGTAACTTTGGTCAGCAGAAACACAATGCAAACCTCTGGCCTGGCTAAGGCACTCTATTCTGAAAGTACAGAAAACATTCATGTATGCTCCCGACCACAACACTGCTCCCCAAAAGGCAGTTCACTGAATGCTAAGGAGAAAGACTGGGGTGTGAACTCACCCAAAATATCATGCATAAGCCTGAAATATCTTTTATACTTTGGAAATGTTATAGTAATTGGCATGACATAAATGCAAAGAGCTATTTGTAATTAAGTCCTGCTTCGGCTGCTGTATCACTATAAAACAAATGGGGACTTTCAAGATGGCAGACTAAAACAAGAAAAAGAGTCAGCAGTACACTAAAGATTCACAAGTCCACAGTATTCTCAAACAATTAATTGCTCAGTTTCACCTTTCCCTTAGTGACAAGCCACCTTTCTTCCATCTAAGAATGGCAAAAAAACTGACTATGGCATAATTTTTTACCACCATAGAGAAATAAAAGTACAAAACAATTTTCAAATAAACTTGATGCAATAAAAAGAGGGCAGAAACACATTATGAAGAGAGCTCCAAAATCACAGAACATGACCCTAAGCAGAAGTAAAAATATTTTTTACTATACTGTATGAGGTGAAGAAAGCCTGTGGTCCAAATTTGTCATTTTATAAATATTTGTCAGTTCTTTTCTTACATAACACAGACTAATCTCATTCTTATGTACAAGGTCAACAGAACAGCAAAATAATTAGCTTAGAAAACCTTAAAACAAAGCTTTTTTCCCCACCACAAATTAATACTCTACCTGGTTCAATTTTACAGATGACACAGAACAAGATATACAAAAAATAGAGTCACCTTCCCTTAATTGGTTCATTCTCTAATCTCCATGACGGCAACTTATTAACACACATGGAATCACTATCCACATTTCCCTGCATCAATATCTCATCTGTTTTCAGTGTTCATTTTTGTCTTAGGAAAAGTCACCAAATATACCTCAACCTTTACAAACAATTTTTAAAAATGAGTAGAGAACCATGAGGTAGTTCCTTGACTCATTTCTAAAAACATGGATGACAATGATTAGAATTTACAAATTAAAAAAATGAAATATCAATTATAGTTATTTTTTACAAAGCAGCAGACTAAAATTCAACAAAGGAATACACCACAATTAAATTTAACAATGGTTACATTCAAAGATAAATAATGGTTATGAATTTAATTACATATAAACACAGTGGTGCCTATTTTATCCAAGTGCAACCTGTCCAAAAAAAAAAGGGTTTAAGATACACTCTTCATTCAAGCACAAACGTCATTCAGTGGAAAATAAAGAAAATCGGCAAGGAAATTTCACCACCACCAAACTAAATGAAGAAAAAGTCAAAAAGAAATAGAAAAAAAAAAATGCACATTCATGAAAAGATGTGATTTATAAATACAACCACATTAAAGGAATTTTTATATTTGTCAGTAAACCTCAAAAATTACTCCAAGTCATATTAAAGGGAGTATGTACTCAGTAAGGCATATATATTAAAAGTTTTCTTCAAGTGAGGAAGTGGGCAAGTTGGGGAAAGAGAGAATTTCTCTCCACTTTATCATGTATAAAACAAAAAACACAGCAACCCACCCCCTAAAAAGACAGGGAGAGGAGGACAGACAGACAAATTGAATCAGAAAACTAATTTTGGTCACAGTGAGGTTCATGAGAGTCCTAACTCCAATTTAAATTTCTCTTCTAATGTTCTTTATCTGCATTCCTGGCAAGTAACTATCATAAGGCTGGGACTATCACATGCGTTCTTAAAATCACAGCTCACAGGCACCAAATCTCAGCAACATGCAGCTGAGGCGGAAAAATGACACACTGAAACAACTAACCATGTCACTGGATGAGCTATAATTACAACCCATTATCTACTAAGTATCAATAGACTATTTCTCTTTAAAAGAAAATTAAACCATTTATCAAGATCTGTTCCTTAATGAGAGCCAGAATACTATAGAATCTATATTTTATATATATACGTATATGCTCTCTTAGCATGTGAAGACAAAAGGCATTTCCATGGGAAAGAAAAACCAGTATTTGGCAACTGTACGTTGTTCTGTAATCAGTAGCATCTCTTGCTGAAGGTGACTTGTTTTTAATCTTTTCCCTATATTAGATTTGGGTTGTTGATAGCTTCTACAGCTAAAGACCTATTATAAAGTACCAAATGTGAAAACATACTTGTACTGTGGTTTTCTGAGTATCAGTGTTCCTAAACCAATTTTGAGGTTTTAAAAATAAAAACACAGCATCTTTAACTTTGTATGAACCAAAACATTATGGACTCATGAAGCTAAAATCACTAGAAACATTTTGCTGGTCTAATGTACATTAGCTCAACCAAAATGTCACATGGTTTTATAAAAAATAAAATAAAATAAGCTGGGAGTTAGTAGGTCCAAAATTCCACAAATCCAGATCAGATGTATCATTCCTGCTGTCCAAGTACCACACACACTGAGATCCCATGTCTGTCAAGCAGATCAGTTTAGTTCAATGGTGATGGATGAAATATTTACAAGCATCTATTTACAGTACTTCTTTCTGTAGATTACATGCCAATATTCTTTTCTTCCATTCCTAGTCAATCTGAGTTTGGTTTCCTCAATGAGAAGGGGTAAATCTGAAAATGGCTGCTTAGCTGCTTTACCTATGAAAAATGAGAACATAAGACAGTGACAAATACATATCTTATTATTTTTTTAAAAAGCACATAGAATTCACCTCCCTGGAGATAACAATTCACTGACAAAGCAAAAATCATCAGAAATAATGAAGAGATTTTTCTGGATTAGGATAGCTATAGACCTAGACAGCTAAATTGGAGTACTAGAATTAATTGAAAGAATTAGAACTTGAACCTGGGTTTGCCTAACTCCAAAATCTAGTCTTTCCAGAGCCCTCCAGACTATACAAATTTACATCCAAATCTGCTGAAAAATTATAGGATTAGTTGAGATATAATATCTAGTAGATTAAAAAATTATATAGTTAGACTCAGTATTCAGCTTGTTAAAATATTTCTAGGAAATCATTCCTAATCCTGATGAAATATTATAAAACTACATCTGTGAATCTGGAAAGTCCTTATTAGTTACGGTATCCCTAGTGGGGAGGCAAGAGCTTAGTTAGGTGCCAGGTAGTACATGTCCTTTATTTGATACTTATAATTATTTACATTTCAATAGTTCAAGTAGGGGCTGGCCCGGTGGCGCACTGCTATAGTGCGCCACTTGGGAAGCGCGGCGGCGCTCCCGCCGAGGGTTCAAATCCCACATACAGACCGGTTCCCGCTCACTGGCTGAGCGAGGCGTGGGAGCAACATCAAGGGTTGCGATCCCGTTGCCGGTCCCGGTCCAGTACGGGGGCGACACTGAGGGTTGCGATCCGTTGCCAGACACGGAAAAAGACAAAAAGGAAAAAAAAAAAAAATAGTTCAAGTAAAAGTCTTGTGTGTCCTAACAAGTTTTACCTTCTGGTCAGAAGTTGTAGAAGTGGTAAAAGAGCACAAAGACAGACAAAAAAATTTTTTCAGTTAGCTTGTATTTATTTTCCAGATTTTTAACAATACACATGCACCACCTTTGTAATTTAAAGAAAAATGTGTTTTGGTTTGGATTGGTGAATATTTGATTTTCTAAAGATGTTTCTGAAGAGTTATAATGAATTAAAACAATTACAAAGACATCGGCAACTGTGTTCCACATCATACATATGATTAATGAAGTTATCAGGATAATGGCCCAAAAGTGTTGATATAAAGTATATAATGTGAAATTTGCACAAATAAAACGTAAGTGAATATGTCTTATGTCATGATTCATCAGATTTATCACAGTTTTTTTTCCATAACAATTTCACCTATTTTGTTCTAACAAATGAGGGCTACTTTCCAAGAAAGAAACACTAAAGGAAGAAAGTCTAAGTTTAGCAACATATGCAAGGTATAAATTTGTTATCAAAAGCATGACAACCGACCCTCATTTTTAAAATGTGTACAATAATACAGAAGTAAAGACATTTTGTTTCTCAAACTGATTCACAAAAGGCTTCCTTTCAAAACAAGCATACCAAATAGAAGTATGTTAAGAGCCATAAAAATGTGAATACCCTTTTACACAACCCCATTCCTATGAAATTATCCTCAGAATATAAAATAAATGAAAGAAAATAATATTATTCCATATTGTTCATGCCAACATTATTTATAATGGTAAAAATCTGAAAACCCAAATGATTAAAATGATTGGATTCTAATTAAGTAAACTGGGTAATTATTAAGTAACCTCCCTGGTGGAATATTATACAACAATTAAAAATCATAATTATGAGACCATGCCAAAACACGTAAAATAATTAGAAAAGAATGTTGAAGTGGGAGGAAAAAGAAAATAAACTGCATGGTTCTGATTTCATTTCATTACATCTACATTCGTTCATTCATCCTGAAACTAGTCTCTGACTTTAGGGGTTAATATTAAGGTCTGCAAAATACTTCTTAAATCCATTTTCTTCTATATTTCTCCTTATTTATTATTTCTGCTGATGAGAGCTCAGGAATAGTACTGATGACATAAAACCTCAAATAATGCAAAAGCCTTCCTTTAGCCAGAAATTCTAACCTCCTTTACCACAATGCTTATAGAATTGGGTAGGGAGATGCGCTACAAAACCAATCTAATTTCTTTCCAAATTATGTTACTGAGCAATAAAAATGCCTCTAAAGCTAAAAAAGGAACTGAAGAAACAGATAATCAACAAACAGGATTATCTGGCCCTTTTTATAATTAAAAGTACAAAACAGTTTTCAGTTCTTCCCAGTTAAAACAAGAACTAATTCCTCATAATAACAATCCAGCTTTAAAATCATTTGTAGCTACTATAACATATTCATTAGAGAAACTATATCTGAAATTATACACTTGGATATTATCAAAAATTTAGAGAATATCCCAATATCCTTCCAGCTACTTTCAGCAACTTTCTTTTGAAATTTTCCATTGCCTCCTTTCCACTATTTACAAAAACCAAATGGAACCAATTTTGCTCTAGATTACTTACCACTTGTACTCCATAATGGATGTGGGCCAGAGTGAAAGCAGTGGTTAATGTATACAGGAGAACACTCTCAATGTGAGAGGCTACTCCTAAATTTACAACCATGACAACCAAGAAGAGAGGAACCAGCAACCAATTCAAAGTTGGGCACCGGGTACTGCTCATTTGACAAACAATCAGCTGACACTTAGTTAAAAAAAAAAAAAAGAGAGAGAGAGAAGAAAGTAAAGAAAGTTTAATTAGCAAAGCACTTCTAAAACTAGTCACTCCAATATTTAAAAAGCCTTCAAGTACTTAAGCCAATAAATTTACGTATCTAAGTTCAGTAGTTCTAAACTGCTCAGTAGCCCAACTGGACCCCTATGCCCACTCCAAACCCAGGGACCCTCAGAGTTTATGCCAGAAGAGGCTGGAAGACAATTTAATAAGAATGCTATAGAAGATATTCTTCCACTGGATAACAGTTGGGGTAGAAGGCATTTCTCCCAATTTTAACATTCCGTGATACGTGGGAAAAAAAAAATTTCAAAATAGCCTCTCACACTCCGACACAAGTAAATTTCTTTTTGGTAATGATGAGAAAGTGCTACCTCCAATTCAGTCAGTCATATTGCCACAATTAAAACCTCTTTGATACTACTTTTAATACCTTATTCAAATATAGTTTTATTCTTTCAGAGTAAAATACAATGAATTAATGTTTTCAGATCTTTAAACACTTTAAAATCATTAGGACTTGGGATATTAACACACGTTACACACATGGACACATAAGCTTAGTGGCTAAGTTACAAAATAAGAACTTATAAGGACCTGACCTGAGCTAAAGCACAGGCTTCTAGGCTGTCAGGACTATCAGGGTCTTTTTTCTCAGCTCCTAATCTCTCCTTCTGTCTGCTCCCTTTCTGGGCCATAGCATAGAAAGGGATTTTTTAAAAATATGCAGTATTTATTACAAAATTTTTTATTCTGTGTTCCTAATTTAAAAATCAGTTTATCAAAAAAAAGTAGGTGTGTTTTCTCTCTCAAAAAACCCTGTCAAGTTCTCTAAGCTAATCATCAGGTCTGCAGCCACTTCAACTACACTGTTAATAATACTGAGAGTCTGAAGGGAAACTATAAATTACCTCATGAATTCTTCAGCAGGTAACCAAAACAAAAAATTTCACTATGCCATAGTTCTAAAATACTACCTTAGTTTCCAAATCCTATTAGTTTCAAAAGGCAAAATAAAATAATTTTCAGCATGTTTTGTCTTTGAGGTTATTAACTATTCTTTCAAATTTCTGATATAAAATATAATTAAAATCTGCTTACTCTAATACTATATAAGATTTCTCAGATTAGTAAATTCTGTCATATATTCCTAATATATATTATGATTTTGAAAAGAAAAAAATCTTACCGTGATGTTGGCAAAGGCTGTTCCAACCATAAAGTAGAAGAGTCTAGGATGTATCTCTAAAATATCTGAAGGTGACTGGAGGATCCATGCTGTAGACAAAGTGAATAGCAAGCATGGAGAAAAGAAGGGAATCATAGCTTCATAGACTGAACTGTGTTTCAAGGTGTTATTTTTATAGCTTCTGAAAAAAATCAAACAATACAAAGAACATTATTATATATCTGTAGACAAAGTGAATAGCAAGCATGGAGAAAAGAAGGGAATCATAGCTTCATAGACTGAATTGTGTTTCAAGGTGTTATTTTTATAGCTTCTGAAAAAAATCAAACAATACAAAGAACATTATTATATAAAAAACTTAGTTGTGTAGTACTCCATAGTTTCCAAAGTACTTTCACAGTTATTCTCTTATTTTATACTCACAACAGTCCTGTGACATAGACAGAACAAATATTATTAACCCCATTTTATAGAAAGGGTGAGGATGAGAAAATCTAAATTTATATAACTTGCTACCACATGGCAGGGCCAGGATCAGAACTGAAGTCTTCTGACCCCAGTCCCATTTTTTCCTCTTTGAACCAAACTATCAACTGTTCTGTTAAGAATATAAAGATTAATAAAACTTGGTCTTTGTTCTATGAGATATTCTAATAGGAGAAATAAAATGACTGTGAAATACTAATAGAGTACCTCATAGTACTACTTTGATACAAAGTGATAAAGAACTTAGATATAACTCACATGAAAGATTCTGAAGAACGACTGCAGATACCACATCTTGGTGTCTCTAAGCACATAAGAAGTAATCCAATGTACGTTTGTTCATCTGAATAGAGCCCCAAATTCTAGTCCTGGTTCTGCCATTAATCACATGGACTTGGGTAATATGTTGCCCAACCAGAACCTCATAATTATAAGATGAGGAGGAAATGACTCAATCTCTATGTACTTCATAACTTTAAATTTTATGGCTTCCATAAATGACTGCCAGCTGCAATAAATACGGAAGACTCATAGAGCACAGCTTGACATGGAGAAGATTCTGCCAGACAGACTTGAGAGCTAAAGGATGAACTGCAAAGTACAAGAAAGTGTTCCGACTAGAGGAAACAGTAGCAGAGGAAACAGTGGGAGCAAAATTACTTAAGAGAGAAAGAGCAAAATATATTCAGGACACAATTAAGTAAATTCAGTGATGCTGACAAAGGTGAGGAAGCACATAGATCAGAGAAATGAAACTCCACCTGGACAACTCCCTTCTCCCCCGACCCAGGCAGGAACTTCTATATAAGGGCCATTTGAGAAGAGTCAAATAGGCCCAGTTTGGTCCTAAACTACACACATTCAGAAATTTTATGATTTTGCTAACTAAACTTACAGATAATCAATTTATAAAACAGAATGTAAGCATATCAATATTCAACAGGAATGAACTCCCTCCTGGTGGACAGACTCAGCCACAGAAGTGACAGAAGACTGGTGAGCCCAAAACAGTAACAAAATAACTAGTAGTTTGTGCTATGATTGGGTTGACTGTTATCCACCACAAATACCATAAATTATCCTAACCTCATTCTAGATTCAAAACACAAGGGTTTTTGTTTTTTTTTTTCTTTTTTGGCAGCTGATTGGTACCAGGATCCAAACCCTTGACATTGGTGTTATCAGCACCATGCTCTGCCAAGTGAGCCACTGGCCAGCCCTCTCAAGATGCAGGTTTTAATTATCTTTTCAAAATGTCCAGGGTTTGGACCCCCATACTGGCTAGCCACCAAAAAAAATCCAAAAAAAAAAAGTCCAGAGACCAAAAGGAAAATAGACCCTAAATTCAGCTAAATAACAATTGCTATAGATTTGCATATTTCTTGCCCAATTAAAAAATAAGACACTTACCTGTAAAAGTTTAATAAACTCATTGGAAGAGTCACACATAATGCACAACCTAAAGGGAAGAATATTTAAATTATCATGAATTATTAATCAAGAATGATTATTATAATTGATCCATGTAAAATATGCAGTATTTTTAGACCCAATAATTTTCAGATTCAAGTTTACTTCTGTAATAAAATTAAATACATTTCTAAGCAACATTTACAACTGGAAGAGTGGCAGCACAATTTGTTGATTCAGAGCATAGAGTCAAGAAGCCAGACTGGGCCACGATTTCGGTTGTACCACCAAATGGTTATGTGACTTTAGGCAAGTCAATCTTTCAGTGCCTTAGTTTCCTTATTTATAAAATAGAGACAATAGTAGTACCAACCTCATAAGGTTCTGAGAATTGAATGAGTTATTGCACATAACAACACCTGGAACAGTACCCGGTGTATAGTAAATTGCACAGTAAGTGTGAGCTACTGGAAGCGGGGATAATTAATGGATCCTGCTGCCTCCGATTATACTTATTTTCACCTCCCCAGAATTTTCAATTTCTCCCCTCCCCACCCACACCCACACACTGATTCTTTCCCCTAAGACCTAATAACAAGGATGCCTTCCCAAGAAACTCTACCACTGATTCTGCTGCCCTTACCATTGTCTTACCCTGCTATTTCCTATCATTTGCTAAAATTTTCTGTTGTCTTCAATTTCTTAACACTCTTTTATTCATTCTGCTTCCCACTCTGCACAAATTGCACTCTTGAAATTTACCAAGCTTCCCTAATGATCAAATTCAGTATCCTTTTTCATCTCTGACTTCTCAGCAAGATGATTTGTTTGACTATCCACTAATTCCAATTCCTTCTTCCTTTTCCTTGGTGATTCCATTCTCCCAAAGTTCCCACTAGCCACCTAGACATTTTATTTTTCTGTCTTTTATTGGCAACTTTACTTCTGCCATATTCCTAACTGGGCGTTCCATTGAGCTTATTATACTCTCCCTCAGAGAACCTTCTCTTAGAGCTCCACTACAAGCCTCCTGCAGATAATTTCAATATCTAATTATGTACTCTTGGGCAAATCAAACAATCTCTCTGAGCTTCAAATTCCAGTTTTACAATAAGGATGAGCTAAATGATTTTCTAATGTCCCTCACATCTTTAAAATTCTCTGATTCTATGATCTATAGAAATGTAAATTCCTGACCTCTCTCTTTTTCCAATTCCAAATCAATACACTTGGTAACTTCCTGGATACTTCATTTGGATGTTTCATTGTCAAGCAACACATTAGCCATAGTTTGTCTACCTGACTGCTAGTACCTACACTTGGCTTGAGGGTCAATGCCGCTATGACTGAAAGGATAAAAGGTAGAAAATATTCCTTCAAAATAATTCCTAAGACATTTTACTGATTGGAACCCAAGAGAAACCTATCAAAAGATGAATTACTCTGCTACTTCCAAGCCCAACTAAAACAAAGTTCCCTAAATGAGAAGATCATAGTGGGAACAGAAGGAGAAGACAAGCCGATGCCCTCAATGCTCTCAGAAATTTTTATCACCTTACTCCATGTCAAGGTAAGAAGCTCTGCAAAGGAGCCAAGGCTAAATGAATTAACCCAGAATTACCTGTAGTTCTGAAGTGTTGGAAATAGGCTGAGATAAACTAGCAAAAGATTTGCCACCAAGACCAATTTTAGTTTTAAAAGTCTTAAGATAGCTTTACCTAAGTACAATAAGCATGTAGAAAGTCTGGGCTCTATATAGGCTGCCAAAGAGAAAGATTACATCTTCTATTTCTTCTCTAAATAATACTTAGTGTACTTTCTGTAAAGAGTATTTAATTGTTAATTTAAATATTTGTCTATTGGGCCGGCCTGTGGCTCACTCGGTAGAGTGCGGTGTTGATAACACCAAGGCCCCGGGTTCGGATCCTATATAGGGATGGCCGGTTTGCTCACTGGCTGAGCGTGGTGCTAACAACACCAAGCCAAGGGTTGAGATCCCCTTACCGGTCATCTTTTAAAATAAATAAATAAATAAATAAAAAATAAATATTTGTCTATTAAACTCTGTACTTCAAGTATATAATAGTGATAGAACCTATACATATACTGTTTTTCATATTGCCATAATTGAAGGCTCAGACTTCATAATGTAGGAAACTTACTAGATATAGAAAATCAGAGAATTCATAAAAAAAAAAAGGATGAGTGGAATGAGATACGACCCGAGGATAACATGGTCATGAGAAATATTTTGGTTCTGGGCCGGCCCGGTGGCGCACTGGATAGTGCGCCGCTTGGGAAGCGCGGCGGCACTCCCGTCCGAGGGTTCGGATCCCACATACAGACCGGCTCCTGCTCACTGGCTGAGCGAGGTGCGGGAGCAACACCGAGGCTTGCGATCCCGTTGCCGGTCCCCGGTCCGGTACGGGGGCAACACTGAGGGTTGCGATCCGTTGCCGGACACGGAAAAAAGACAAAAGACAAAAAAAAAAAAAAAAAGAAATATTTTGGTTCTTCACATTTCCAGCTTTTTTTTTTCTTTTTTTGTGACCGGTAAGGGGATCGCAACCCTTGGCCTGGTGTCGCCCGCACTGCAAAAAAAAAAAAAAAAAGAAATATTTTGGTTCTTCACATTTCCAGCTTTTTTTTTTCTTTTTTGTGACCGGTAAGGGGATCGCAACCCTTGGCCTGGTGTCACCCGCACTGCGCTCAGCCAGTGAGCGCACCGACCATCCCTATGTAGGATCCGAACCCGCAGCCTCAGCGCTCCCAGCGCTGCACTCTACCGAGTGAGCCACGGGGTCAGCCCCTCCAGCTTATTTTTTAAGTAGGAATTTCATTTAAAACCACCAATACAAAAAATACTTTAAGAAAAGTAAAAAAGGCAAACAACAAGGGGAAATTGTAATTTATATCAAAACAAAGGATTAATACTAATATATGAAGAGCTCCTAAAAATAAAGGAAATGGCCAACAACCCTATAGAAAAAAATGGGCTAGAGATATGTAAATGTACAAAGAAAGATATACAAATGGCTATTAAAATACTAGAAAGTTTCATTCATAATAAGAGAAATGCAAATTAAAAACTTTACAGAAATATCATTTCTTACTTAGCAGATTGGCAAAAATCCAAAAGCTTGACACTATACTATATTTCATTTTTTATTTTTTTGGTTTTTTGGGCAGCTACCCGGCATGGGGATCTGAACCTGTGACATTGGTGTCTTAAGTCTGCATTCTAACCAACTGAGCTAACTGGCAAGCCCATATGTTGATGAAACTAAATAAACAAGTTCTTTCATACATAGCTGGTGGGAATGGAAAATCATACAACCCCTGTGGAGGGGAGAATAGACATTTTTAGCGAAACTGAATACATCTGCTCTTTACTAGCAATTCTACTTCTAGGGATCTCTTCCACAACATGTTGGCAAAAATATGAAAAGACATATGTACAAGACTATTCACTGCAGCAATGTGTGTTACAACACAGACTGGAAATTACCCAAATGTCCACCAATAGGGGGCTGGATGAACAAACTCTGGGACACACACAATGAAGTACCAGGAAGCTGTAAGAAGGAATGAGGAAGATCCTTATATACCATTATGGAGTTATCTCTAGGATATACTCAAGTGAAAAAAAAAACAAAGTACAGTAAAGTATGTACAGAATGCTGACATTTAACTATGAAAGGGGGAGATAAAATGATATACAGGCACATACTTGCTTATAATAAGAAACAATGGAAAGGTAAGCCATAGAATTAAAAACTAAGAATGGTTACTTACAAGAGAGAAGAACAGGATAGTGATAGAAGCTAGATTTCTTTGTACATATCCACAATTAGTGGCATAACCACAGAGTGCTGACTTTAAAATATAGTAACAGGACAACTCTAGTGGAATAGACTATAAGGACAAATGAAATTGCAAAAAATCAAATTCTTAAACAATTTTCGGTAATCATATTGCTGCTGATTTTGGTACTGTATTCTGAGACTATTATGGGTATTTTGTAGAATAAAGCAAATGAGGAATTATTTTGTGTCACTGAAAACCAAGATTTTTGTCATAGTTTAAAGGAGATAAAATTTAAGATCAATGAGGTTAAGTAAAAATTCTGCATTATCAAATTTGATTTGGAATTATCAGTATGAACTTATGGGGTATTTTATCATAAACAAACTTATTCCCCTAGCTTCCACTGAATGAATGGATTCCTAAGCAATGATCATCAATGTCTGTTAACACTATTAGGTGAAGCGCTGATGCAAAACTTTGTAATAGATGAAACAGACATACAATACTTGAACCCTCTGAACACTATTAACATCACAAAATGGGAGACAACTAGATATTGTGTGCCTGCTAATGTGATGCAATAGCAAGCATCACTACCTACTAAATACTGTCTCCACACCCGCCCCTCCAAAATGAAACCTGTACCTAACCAAGCCCATAGATCTAACTATTAGTTTACAGGAAAAACGAGGGGCAGAGGACCATGTTAAATGACACAATGATAATGCAACCAGGAAAATGCAGAATGTGAGAGTTCTATAGAACAAATGACTTTCTTCAACAAATAAATTGCAAAGAAAAAAGGGAAAAACCTAGGTAGATTAAAAGAGACTTAAAAGACATATTACCCAAATGCAATTTATAGTCCTACTTGGTAGTTATATAAACACATCAATTATAGAAGACATTTAAGACAATTATGGAAACCTGAACACTGATTACATATTTAATATTAAGGAATTATCATTAGCTTCTTTGGTGTGGTAATTGTATTGTAATTATGTGTTGTTTTTTTAAAATCCATATCATTTCGAGACACACAATGAAGTATTTACAAATGCAATGAAATGATGTCTGGGATTTGCTTTAAAATAATCTAAAGAGAGGAAGATGTCTGATAACGATGGCATAAAGCGACAGGGCAATTCCTCTCACAAATAATTATTAAAACCAAACAGAAACATTAAAAACAATTGCTTGAAGGCACGAGAAAATAGCCAAAGGCAGGCAGAAACTTGAAAAGCATTTACACTTGAAACACCAGGGAACAACTCCAAGTTTGTGGCTTGCCTACCCTCCCCTACCCCCATCCTATCCCAGATGATGGAAAGCCACAGCCTTTGCTACCAGTTTGTGGAGGCAAATAATAGAATTTAGAGCACAAAGGAACTAGAAATTTAGGGGTGGGGTATTTTAGAAGAGAGAGAGAAGCAGAAGGGCTGAGATTCAAAACCTGAGTATAAATTCTGCTCAAATCCCTGGCTAGCTGCTAAATTAAGCAAGCAAACAGGAGACCCCAAGGAACAATGTGAAAAAGAAGGCAGAAATTAGAGGAGACACTATCCTTGAAACACAGAGGCACTCTTGGTGAGATCTGTAAGTTTGCTGTGCCCTTTACATCCACATTCAGCTTAGGCTGACGAAGGCAGAACATTTACTGGCTTGAGGTGTCAAAGAGCAGAACACAACTGCTGGCAGAGCTGCTGAAGATTCAGGATGGGGAACCCCAGAAGCAAGGAAACCACAGAGAAGTGAGCTTCAAAATCTCAGAATCGACTTTGCCCCAATCTTTGGCTGACTGCTACACTACACAGACACAAGGGAGACTCCCCCACCCCAAGAGACCAGGCTACAAAAGCAGCAGCTGAAAGCTGAAAATGACTAAATAGAGACAGCTACCATATACCATGAGGGGACAGACTTCTCAGTCCAAATCCAAAAAAGTTAAATGCCTATTAGAACAAAAAACCAAAAATTCTCAGAACAAAGTGAATTTCCAAAGTTTCTACAAATATTATCTACAATGTCCAGTTCTCAACAACAGAAAAATTGCTAGATATGCAAAGAAATAGAAAAAAGCAGCCAATAGAAACTGACTCTAAGTGGGTCCAGATATTAGACTTGGCAGACAGACTTTAAAGCAGGTATTTCAAGTATGTTCAAAGAACTAAAAGAAAACATGGTGATAATAAATGAAAAGATAGAGAATTTCAAATGACAAATGTAAAGTATGAAAAGAACCAGATGGTAACTCTAGAGCTGAAAAGTACAATAACATAAATGAAAGAGTCACTAGATAGGCTCAACAGTAGATTGGAGGTGGCAGAAGAAAAAAAGCAATGAACTTAAGGATAGATGAACAGAAATTATCCACTACAAAGAACAGAAAAAAGATCAAACAAAAGCCTTAGAAAATTAGCTTAAGGACAACATCAAGCAAACCTGTGTAACATATGTGTAAGAAGAGTCACAGAGGAGGAGAGAGGAAGAGGCAGAAAAAAAATCTGAAGAAATAAACTATGGCTGAAAACTTCCCAAATTTAATCAAAAATATGAAATTACAGATCCAACAAGCTCAATAAACACCAAGAAGGACAAACACAAAGAAAACCATACCCAGTACATCATAGTCAAACTTCTAAAATCCAAAGATAAAGAGAGAATCTTGAAAGCAGCAAGAGAAAAATAACACATTACGTACAGGTGACAATGATAAATGAGCTGACTCAGAAATAATGGATGCCAGAGGGACATTAGAATGACATACTCAAGACACAAAAAGAAAAAAATCAAGACATTTCACATAAATAAAAACAGAAAATGCACTGCTATCAGACCTGCACTACAAGAAATCCTAAAGGAAGGAAATCGTAAAGGAAATCCTATACACAGAAAGGAATAAAGTATAGCACAAATGGTAAATGTGTGGGTAATTATAATAAACTATACATTACAAAGTAACCCAGGGGTTAGCGAATAGGGGTGCATTTGAAACAACACTGGCACTAGTATTGAAAACTGTTGAAACTGGGTGATGGCACATATAAAAGCAGAAAAACTACAAAGAATAGAGAGTTCAAATTTTTTCATAATAAGGGCCGGCCCGTGGCTCACTCGGGAGAGTGCGGTGCTGATAACACCAAGGTCCCGAGTTCAGATCCCATATAGGGATGGCCGGTTTGCTCACTGGCTGAGCGTGGTGCTGACAACACCAAGTCAAAGGTTAAGATCCCCTTACCGGTCATCTTTAAAAAAAAAAAAAATTTTTTTTCATAATAAAAAGAGGGGGAAGAAATGACGCTGACAACACCAAGTCAAAGGTTAAGATCCCCTTACCAGTCATCTTTAAAAAAAAAAAAATTTTTTTTCATAATAAAAAGAGGGGGAAGAAATGACAGGGGGAATCCTGCTCTCTAACTTGGTAACCTGCCTGCTGTATCCAAAGAAGTCAACCTTCCACAATGGCAAAAAGAAGCCGCTCCACTCCACCTTCTACCAATCTTTTACCATGTTTCCCCTCACACTGAGGCTCTAGTCCACCCCAACCACCCCTTGCACCACCAATTTTATCAGCAGAAACTAACTGGCTTAGGCCCTAAGGTCCATCTATCCATTTGTATCTGCTCAAATCTAGTATCAGGAAAGCTGCTTTATTTACTTGTATAGAAACACATGGGCTGTTGTTTTGTATCAGAGGGAAGAATTCAGAAAAACTTATAAGTTACAAAGAAAATTATGTGCCTATTAAAGTACCCACTTAACATTCAAAAAATGTCTCATATCAGAGGATTCTGTCTTATCTTTAAATTTAACATCTAAATGTAATATAATGCAGCAAACCTGCCATAGGACAAATTGCTTAAATCAAAAGATTCATTACGTGGTAGACGAAAAATAGCCTTTTTGAGGTAAAGAGATAACAGTTTATGTACGTACCAAAAAATGAACATTTGGTAGATTACAGAGTAGTTCCTAAAATATCTGCAGTCCAGAGCCACCGAAAAAGGCCCAAACCACTCCTTTTCTGAAAGCCAGTGCCTAACACACCATCTTCTCAACAGTTTCTAAGCCTTACCTAATTCTCATTCCATTACCAAGGTTCACCAATAGAAAAAGATAGGTTTATTTTTTAGATAAGAGAACGAACAAGAGCCCACACACATACCTTTTTTCTTCTACAAAGGTCCCTAAGTGCCACTCCCGGTGCCCCAAAATAACAACCCAGATTACTCTTCCTCTTTGCCTCTTTCTGTACCACTACCACTCTAATCCAATGAGTCAATTATCCTACAGACATCCCTTTTGGCTAAAATCAAAAGGAAAACATTACCACTATCAAAAACCTTTAACTAGAATTCAGTAGGATAACAAGGAGGGTATGCGAGAGAAATAGAGGCTAAATTTTTAGAGTGAATATATTATAAAATAATGTCTACATTTCACGTATTCTATTTCATACAAACCAAAAATCTTCAACTTTGAGGTAAATATGAAACTTATACCAAATGTCCACCTAAAAAATGGCATTGTGATTATGTTTTGAAAAGGGGCCTTTATCATTTAGAAAAATATAGCAAAATATTCACCTTATAATGTCAGAAATTTCCTTTAAAATAATTGGGAGGAGGGCTGAGAGGGGGTATACGTGAAATCAGACTTGCCACATGTTGCCTGAAGCTAAGTAATGGGTACATAAGTGTTCACTATACTATTCTCTCTACTTTTGTATATGTTTGAAATTTTCCATAAATATGTAAAAATAAAATGAAATGAAATTTATAAAAAAATTTTTAAAGCACACATCAGTTCTAAAAAAAACTATATTTTCAAAGATTATTGATTTCAAGAAGAAAAAAAAAAAAAAGCACACATCAGTTCTAACCAAAAGAGCAGAAGGGCGATAAAAAAGAATAACAAAAACTTTCCAAAAACATCATGGCAATGTTGAAAATTTAAGGCAGTACACATACTTACCACCTGGCTAATGTCATATCCCCATGGCAGGAAAAGAATCCCTGTGTTATACTTTTCCCAGTGAGACAGGATGAAAGAAAACAAAACTACCCATAGCAGGAGATAAAGAACAAAAACACTGACACCAGTTGATCCTCTTCCAAAGATGGAATACACAGTCACAACAAAGTAAACACATGACCAACTATCCAGGCCATGGTCAAAAAGCTCCCCTAAGGGGGTGCTGGAATTGGTTCTACGGGCTTGCTTTCCATCCACACCATCTGCAACAAAAACACATACCACAAGAAAAGGTCAACATCTGTACCAGTACGGACAAAGTCTTCTTTAATAAACTATGGAATTGGTTCTACGGGCTTGCTTTCCATCCACACCATCTGCAACAAAAACACATACCACAGGAAAAGGTCAACATCTGTACCAGTACGGACAAAGTCTTCTTTAATAAACTAGAGGAAAAAACAAATCAGAATCACAGGAATGTTAAGTGTAGCTACCAGCCGGTACCATAAAAACCTAATCTTTAATTCCTATAATTCAAAGATTTCAGAAATGTGTAATTTCTCAAAGTTTAATCTAAAAATCAAAATACATTATATCACACTAAATGATGTCAATTTTAGATCTGAGAAAGAAGCATTCTAGTTAGACTCTGGATTCTTCCAAAACTGTCTAACAATTAGGTTGTTCTACTAGCCACAAATTCTCAAGCCTTCAGAGAACATTCAGTAGCTATTCATTACAATTTATCTAGACTACTCCTTGCTCTAGGATCCAAAAGTACTTCAGTCACAACATGTATTTCACCCTGTTTAAAATCAGTCACTTATTTACACATCTACCACCTCCATAATAATTTTAAGTGCTTTCAGAAAATGCACATGGTAAGTGCTCAACAAATAAAAGAATTAAATGCACTGAAACTGTGCAATGCACTATTCTTGGTGCTATAAAGATTACAAGAACCTTAGAATAAACTAAGTTTGTGCCTCAGAGTGTTTACCATTGAGAAATGGACAAAACATGATGATTAAAGTTAAACATGTGAATCATCTTAAGCAAGAATGTTAAGTAAGAATCAGGATTACCAAGAGGATGAGAAAAAGAAAGCTAAGGATAAAGCACAGTGGGATGCCTTCATTTAGGGGCAGAAACACAGGAGCCTGCTAGAGAGAGAAGTATAGTAAAACCTAGTTAAAAAGGAACAAAAGAGTCTGAGTTATAAAAATTTCCCCAAAAAAGAATGTTTTGTTAACTAAGTAGATTATAATTAGGCTAATTTTAAAGATTCAGATTTAAGAAATTAGAAATTCCTGTAACTACTATGGTTATCTTTTTCACCATAGTATTATCCCTAGTGCCTACCTCAGTCTGTGGCAAAAAGAGACTTTATAAATATTGTTGAAAAAACATAAAAAAAGATGAATCCCAAACTCCTACCCAAACACTGCAGATCTCTGTTCAACTAGGAATAGGAAATTTTCTGTCCTTAAGTAGCTGAAATATTTCCTACTTTATTTATTGGCTTAACAATTTCCTATTCTTAGTGCAACTCCTGTGCAGTTACTACAATACTGAATTCAGGAAGTACATATTAGTGAGATTTTGTATATTTTCTCACTGAACCCATTCCAGCTTCACAAGTCTGGGGTCCAGGTGTGTTTCAGGGTTTTTTCCTCTTAGAAAAGTAATTCAGGGCATAAACTATATACTGTAAAAGGCCAAGGGCAGCACCCTATTATCAAACATTAATATTTCTGCAGCAAAACATATGAACAGTCACACCAAGTAGAATAAAGATTATAAACTGCCTCATGCTAGCTCAAGACAGTTTTGCAACAAATAGTTCATGTTAGGTCAGGATTTTTGCCAGAAAATTATGAACCTGAAACAACAGGTAGATGGTACAGTACATCAAAAGGCTCTTATCTTTCTGGTGGCTGGCCAGTACAGGGATCATAACCTGGACCCTTGTGTTATCAACAACCACACTCTAACCAACTGAGCTAACTGGTCAGCCCTTCAAAAGGCTCTTATGACATACTGTTAAAAGTCAGAGCTCAGAGGCCACCCTCATCTCTTCCCTATTCCTCTTGCAGTCCTTGGCAACGAAATCCTTCGGCATTTAAAATTAAATTAAAGCAACTAAAATTTAAAAACCTGCTCATCTTTAACAACAAAGGCACAAAAGCCTCTACCTAAATATGTCTAACCCTAGCTTTTGACTAAGCTTTCTCCTAATTCTTGTAGACTTTTCTGATCTCTTCCTTCTCCAAATTCTGCAGCTCTGGTTATTCACCATGTCGGTATTAAATCAGGTACCAGGCTATCATGATTTTACAAGAACAAGTCATTTTTATCTGAAGAGATCTAAGCAATTTGAAGTCAGGGTCTGCTACTTTACGTGCATTTAAAAACTATACACTAGGGCCGGCCCGTGGCTCACTCGGGAGAGTGCGGTGCTGATAACACCAAGGCCCCGGGTTCGGATCCCATATAGGGATGGCCGGTTCGCTCACTGGCTGAGCGTGGTGCTGACAACACCAAGTCAAGGGTTAAGATCCCCTTACCGGTCATCTTTTAAAAAAAATAAAATAATAAAAAAATTAATAAAAACTATACACTTAAAAAAAAAAAAAGAAAGTTTTTTTTTAAACCAAGTCAAGGGTTAAGATCCCCTTACCGGTCATCTTTTAAAAAAAAAAATAATAATAAAAAAATTAATAAAAACTATACACTTAAAAAAAAAAAAGAAAGTTTTTTTTTAAAAGATAAATAAATAAATAAATAAAAACTATACTGAGTGCCTGCTCACCCTCAAGGAACTTAACATTTTAGTTAAAACAGACAACGAACAAGTAGGAAAGTAAACAGATAATTTGTTATATAGTTTTAAGTGCTATGGGGAAAAATAAAGCTTATTTATTATTTCTTATTCTGTGAATCCCTAGCAATGAATAACAATATTCTCATAGAGAAACTCAAAAACATATTTATCAATTTAAAAGGATATTGATAAATCCTAGTTAAAATGAATTAAACATGGGAGAAAATGTTAATTTAGTGAGTGGCAATCCTTGCTGAATTACCAGCCACTGACTAAAATGAATATTTACCATTTCTTACCTAGAGTGTAGGCTATAAAGTTGAGGATGCCCACCACAATCCAAACCCAATCAGGTACATGCTTGTGACCTGGTGCTGCAAAGGAAAGCAATTAAGATTTTAATACAGTCTAACTATAGTTCCTAGCACAGCAAATACTGCCAGTGAGAAATGTTTATATTTGTTACTTAGAGGTTAAAATACTTCACAATATATTTTGAATGCAGAACTAGGCAAATATTAAAATATATCAGTAAATTAACAAAACCAAAGAAGTAATCTACGGCCACTCATAAACAGTAAGTATTTATTTTGAGCTTTTCTCATAACTCAAGACTGAGTGTTCATCTTTATTCAAAAATTACTTATGTGCCTAGAATGAAAAATAGCATATTTTTGGAATTTAAAAAATGATTGTGCTTGTCTAATCCTTGTTGTTCATGATTATACTACAAACATGTATTGGGCTTTCACACTATACTTTCTCACTATTTTATTAACTAGCTAATCAAAAGACCTTTTGATTTATAGACAGATTACCTAAACTGGATGATTTGGGTATCAGAATGCTGTTGAAATGTCTGGACCTTACCTTTTTCCCCTATGATAAAACAACTGAGAATCAGGTCTGGGTTCTAGTCCTAGCTCTGTAATCAACCAGCAGTGTGACCTTAAATATATCACTTAACCTCTCCTGTCTTACATTTCCCAAATATATTGGGACTAGATGGTTCATCCGGTCCTTCAAGTTCTATGATTTGGGAAAACACATATAACATTTACATATTTTTAGTTCTCTTAATAACTTAAGTAAATAATCTTATTTAGAACAGCCAGAGAAAATAACATTTCTAGTTACAAAGATACATTTTTTAGGGTGTCCTAAGGATTCCTAAAAGCACAATACCCAAACCATACTTAATGAAACTTAATCTTACTTATAATTCAAGTGGTATTTTATGATCCTCTCATGCTTCAGAGTTGGCATTTAAGACTTCATTTACCATTTTATTACATGTATAGAAGCTATAGCTAAAAGTTTTAGTTGATAAAGTTCAGCATATGTATAGTTTCAATATTCAGAATTTCTATAATATCAAAAGTCGTAAGTGTTTGAAATTCCAAATTTTCCTACAAAAGCAATGTTGTCAGTGGTTGTTAATTTTCTCAGGTCAGTCCATAAAAGTCTGCTGAATACACAACATAGAGATGAATTATAATACTAAGATTCCTAACTACATCATTTATAAGTATTCCTACTGGAAAATAAATTTTCTTAGAATGCAAAAAATACTCATCTACCTCCATCTTTCTATTCCTCTCAACTCAATCAACTGGCTGAGCAATAAAAATAAACCCTGTCTCCCACTATTTCCCTATTCCCCACCCCAAATACACTCCAGATTCTCTCCTGTGGCAGACGCTGGGTGTGGGACAGTGAAGATAGGAATAGGTGTGAAAGATGATACTGGAGCAGAGAATGGAACAGACGGTGGGAGCAGGCTAAACACTGGCTCCAAATGTGCTTCCTTCCTCTCTTCCCCAACAAGGGTCCAGACTTCTGCCAATAAATATTTAAGGTCTAAGAACCATTTGCAGAGGAAACTCGGAATCAATAAAGGTAAGTAGGGCTGCTGAGCAGAGGGAAAAAGAGATAGCATTCCCTTTAGAAGAAAGGGGATTTTTCTTCCATGACTAGAAAAGGGGAAGGGATATTCCTAGAATTAATAGGTATTTGGGGCCCTGCTTGTGTTCATTTTTAGGCAAGTTTTGCAATCCTCATTTTTTATCATCATGTAAATCCAATTATTCTTTACTTGCTAAAACTTCACTGCTTTTTAGACAGCATATCTAAATTTAATAGGCAAGTTGGTATTATATTTCTAGAACTTAATGGGAACATACATAACACTGTAAAAACATAAGTTAGCTTTTATACACAATTCTGATACCTTACATATCACTATAACATCCAAACCTTTTCAGAAATACAAGCATCTTAACAGAACCAGAAAATAAACAACCACATCTCATTTTTCTCTACTCATTTTAAATTTTATATTAAAAGTAATATTCTTACCTGAAGCATAAAAATCAGGATCAAAGTATGCCATAAGTAGAAAATTGAATACAAGGAGCAGAAAGCCAGAAAATGTTATCAGATTGGGAGCCAGCCAAGTAGGAAATACCTATTTTTTCAAAATAATTATAAAGTAATTAAAATAGAGGAATCTCTGTCCAATATACAATACAACATGCAAATTTGGATCATAATAAAAGCTATACATTTGAAAGATAATACGTAGGAGTTGTATGTATTCAAATGTAAATCATAATTTCCAGTTGATAGAAATAAGCATTTCTTTCTTCTTTATGTCCTCTACATTTTAAATAATTCTATAATCAACAAACCTTTATAATCATAACATTAAATTTATTTTTGAAAATTTTAAAAGGCAGTTTACAAAAATGACAAATTCTAGAATATAAACTACATTTCAACAGTGAGAGAAATCAAAAGGTATGTGGTTGAGGGAAGGGAGGATGGGAAGGGAAGGGCAGTTTCTCTAGACACCTTATTAAACTGAGAGGTGCATCCATAACACTCCATAAAACAGGTTAAAATATTTACAACTTGCTAAAATAAAAATTACATGCCTATTAATTATCTTACCTTCACTACAGTGTTCCAAAATGGATGCATGACATACAGAGAGAGTGGATTTGTATCCACAGCACTGTACTATTAAGAAATGAAATGAAATATTCAGAGTTAATCCTTGCATATTAGCAAATAGAACAATATTTCTCAAACGAAAATAACAGTACAAAAATAACCTGGAGAATACTTCTATTTATATGGTCTCCATCTGAATAACAAAATTGGAATAGCAATATAAATGGCGAAAAGACTGCGAAGCACAGTCAGATATTACTTTTATGCAGGGAGAAAAGGGTCACAGGGGAAATGTAAAGATCAACCCCAAATCACAGAGTTAATCATACAGAAGCTGTTTCACTCTCATTCACATTCATACATACTCATTTAGAGTCCAAATCGCCAACAGTGATTCATCCTTCTCTCTCAATCAACTTTTATTTTATTTTTTCTGGCTGGCTGGTACAGGGATCCAAACCCTTGACTCTGGTGTTATCAACACCATGTTCTAAGCAACTGAGCTAACCCCCCAGTCCTTTCAATCAATTTTTATATTATAGTGTTTCAGCAGGGAAACTTATATTGCTTACATGTTCTCACTTATTATGCAGGATTAGTAAAATGCACACTGTGCACCCAAACACTGACCACACTCCTTCTCAACCACCTTCATCCCTCTCAACTTACAGGAACCTATTTGTTTTTCCCCTTGATACCATTAGTAATACTCTTATTAGCTGTGCAACCTAGAGCAAGTTACTTAACCTCTCTGCCTTAGTTTCTTCACCTTTAAAATGAGAATAGCAGCCCTTACTTCAAAAGACTGTCATAGGGATTAGATAAGTTAATAATGTACGTGAAGCACTTAGAACAGTACCAGCCCACAGTAAGTGGCATGAAAGTATTAGCTATTATTATTATTAAATGTGTTTTGAGCACCAAAGGAATGACAGATCCCTTTACAGCAGGAAAACTAGATTCCATAAATAAGCAAAGGAAGACAAAAATAGGTTAGGTTAGTAACCTGTGTGGTAATGGAGATTATTCCCCAATTATTGACCTATTTCGTGAGAATTAAAAGGAAATTTTAACAGACATACATATATAAATATGTAACACTTCAAGAGTCATACTGATAACTTATTCATCTGACACACACACACTAGAGTAGGAAGTACTCCACTAAACATGGGGAAGAAGGGATACAAAACTGGAAAAAGACAATTCCCACCCTCAAGCAGTTCACAGTATTATCTGCATTAATACTACCTAACTCATCCACCTGGCACTTAAATGATTTTACACTACTCAAATGTTTGAGAAAGTTTGGGTTATATTTTGTATTTAAGCTTAGTAGGTATATAAAATAAGTAGTAAGCATCTGAATATCTAATACTTAAAAAATCATAAAGATCAAAATTTCTTCATGAATGTTTTATGAATATGCAAGAAATACTTTCAGTGTTTAAAGACTTAGGGCCGGCCCGTGGCTCACTCAGGAGAGTGTGGTGCTGATAACACCAAGGCCATGGGTTCGGATCCCATATAGGGATGGCTGGTTTGCTCACTGGCTGAGCGTGGTGCTGACAACACCAAGTCAAGGGTTAAGATCCCCTTACCGGTCATCTTTTAAAAAAAAATAAAAACTTAAAAGTATTATGGAACAAAAATGTAAATAAATACAAAGTGTTTAAAATACTGTTAGCAAAGAGAGTCAACCATTAAGTATGTTTATTCAACAGACTCTGCCTGAGATTCCTCCATTTCTCCAACCCATTCTGACTAAAATGGGGTAGCTGGACAAAAGATCTGAGACAGGCAGTAGAAAGAAAATGATGACAGAGAATGTGGTTTGCTTTTACTAACTAGCGTTAGAAGCTACGAAGCTGCACCCAGACTCTCAGCAGGAGCCAACTTAAATTAGTATTACTGTTCTTACAAACTTTCAGTAAACTTCCAACTCTTACTGAACTTTCAACTTTCCCCTGCATGGTACTCTACAGTTTACAGAGCTTTTCAACATAACAGATTCATAGCATGGGAACCTTTGCAGAATGAAGAAATCCTAAACTGACAGGATCGCCTGAATTTAAGCCTTTAGACCTGAGGACCTGGAACCAATATGAAACCCTAAAGGCTGCAATGACAAGGTGGGAGGGCCCTGGCCTCCTCCACTTCACAGAAGTCTGCACCCAGAACCATGTGAGATAGCCAGCAGTGAGATAAACTGGAAAACCACCCATTTCATGTCCACCACCTATTGCAGAGTACAAAAGTTGTAAGAAGTTCAAATCAAAAGAAAAAAGTTTAGGGCCGGCCCCGTGGATCACTTGGGAGAGTGCGGTGCCGGTAGCGCCCAGGCCACGGGTTCGGATCCTATATAGGGATGGCCAGTGCACTCACTGGCTGAGAGTAGTGCGGACGACAAAAGAAAAAGGTTTAAGATATCACATGAATACCTAACACGGTGCACAAAGTACAATGTTCTTATTCAAATGTTTGCTGAATGAGTCTCATTTAACAGCTTTCCATAATTTTAACTTAGATCTTTTTAAAAAGGTCCTTAACAGATGGTATTTTGATTTGAAAAGCTCATTTTTTAAATTCTGAAGCTTTAACTTTAAATCCCTACTTCAGGAAACCAGTAGACATATGAAAAGAATATACTACAGAATTAAATACAAGAATTAAATACAGAATTAAATACAAGTTTACCTAACTGGATTTCAGTTACTTGACATTCAATAACAGCTGATGAGCTCAAGTATAGCAAGAAAGATTAATAGGAGATTACAAAAGACAGCAACAACAAACACTCTGTGCTCTGGGTATTTTACAAGGTCACATATCACTCGCTATTAACGAAATTCTAAACTGTCTGATGAATCAATAGGAGGAAGAATGATTTAAACCTTCCATATGCATTAAAAAATAAACAAAATATAAACTTTTAATGGTGCTAAACTAGATTTAGGTTATTTGTGATGCTTGTTAAATGTATCTATTTTCCATTGGAATGATGTTTTGGCATATACCAGAAAACGTGAACCAGGTAGATAATCCAGTTAAGACCTAGCATGACTTGCTTGGCTCTCCGATCTATAGGACCAGACTAAGCTAGAACCCTGGAAAAATGCTTGTGGACTACAGCCTGAGTTTGAGAGAATCATGCCATGGCAAAAATCTCAGAACAAGAAGAGTGCTCAGTGGATGTCTCCACTGTATGCCTGCCCCTCATCTGGAAGAATACTCATCTGGCCTCTTTTTAAATACCTCTGGTTACCAAAAAACAAAAACAAACAAACAAACAAACAAAAAAACCCTCATTACTTCCAGAAGCAACCCAATCCAATGTTAAAACAATTTTTTTTATACACTAACAATCCAGCCCCCAATCTTCTATCGTGTGTTTTCATTTTGCTCTACAAAGTTAAGCAAACAAGGGTCTATTTTTTTCTTCTAAACAATAGTCCTTCAATATTTGAAGACAGCTTTCCCTGTCACACCTAAATTTTCTCTTCATCTATTCCCATATTCCTTTTGCTCCACCTCTTCTGCCATGGTTCCAATCTCCATCATCTAGGTCTAGTTCACTAGACTGGGGATTGGAGAGCTCTTTCTGTAAAGGGCCAGACAGAAAATATTTTAGATCCTGCAGGCCAATGGTCTCTGTAACAAATACACAATACTGCCAACAAAACAGGAAAGCAGTCACAGAAAAAATGTAAACAAGTGGGCAAGGCTGTGTCCCAATAAAACTTTATTCAAAAAAACAGGTGGCCTGGGGGATTTAGTTTGACAACCTCTACTCCAGACCAATCTAATTTGTTGTTAAACCAACCCAAAGGTGTGATCCAGGGCAAAAGGAAAATTTCAAGCATGAGTGAGAAGGAGAACATGACTATAAGCTCTCTTCCTCAACAACTTATGCTTCTCAAGATATTATTAATTTCCTGTGGCAACAAAATCATACTGCAGACTTACATACAATGTTACAGTCCTCTGAACCCTTCAGGCCTTTTTTTATATGGCCTACTAAGCCATCTTTCTCTAAGCTAACAAAAGGTCGATACTGGAACCTACTGTAAGACTACATTTACCATTTTAACATTTCATCATGCTGGAGTCAACTCATTTTCTACCTGCTCCAGCTTTCTTCAGATCCTGACTTTGTTATCCAAGCAGTAGCTATGCCTCCCAAAACTCTCAATATGTAAATCTGGTCATGCTAATAATGTCTTCACTTAAATTTCTATAACAATCCTAATCAACATAGAACTTCTAGACAGTTCTCTCAAGATTGCTATTACTACATTTAATCATTTTTATTTGGGTATAGAATTCTGTAATGTTATTGATGGCAATGTCTATCTTACAAAGGATTTTCATAAAATCTTAATGAAACCCAGAATTACTTAGATAACATTTTGCCAAATATTAGAAAGTTTCAAAACTTTTTTAAAATTTCAGTTCAAATCAGAAAATAAAGCAGAGTTCATTCACTTCAAGTGGTGCATGAGTAACAAGGAGAACATGACGATAAGCCCTCTTCCCTGACAACTTACGCTGCTCAAGATATTATTCATTCAATGAGTCAACAAACATTTATGACTGAGTGCCTATGATTCTGCCAGGGACTTTACTAGAACACTGGAAAGAGAATGGTGACCAAGACCGAAATATTTCCTGTGTTCACCAAGTTTATAGCCTAATGTGAAATAGATAGTAAGCAAGAAAACAAGTAAATAATTACAAGTTGTGATAAATACTAAGAAAGAAATAAAAAGGGTATTGTGCGAGAAGACAAGCAGACGGAAACACAAGGAAGAAGGCCAGATGAAGGGAGAGGCCAAGGCTGGAGTTACACTGCCACAAGCCAAGGAACACCAGGAGCCACCAGAAGCTGAAAGAGGCAAGGAAGGAATTTCCTTGGAGAGCTTTTGGAGGGAATTTGGCTCTGCCAATACCTTGATTTTCTAGACATTTAGTCTCCAGAACTCTGTGAGAATAAATTTCTGTTCTTTAAAGCCACCCAGTGTATCAGTTTTATGGTGGCCCTAGGAAGCTAATAAAGACAGTGACCT